CTGAGGCCGGTAGATCAGCAGAGGTCTGGATAGGGCAGGAAGAAATGATGTCTCCTTTAAAATGTTGAGTGCCTCCAGCCTTTAGAATGGAGTTCTGCGCACAGTAGGCACACACATACTCGAATGAAGTCACAAGCCACCATTGCAGACTCTGGCCCTTGTTCTCCCCCTCGGCCAAGAAAAGCAAGAATTTGGCTATGTTTGGGCGGGGAGGGATGATGCCACTTCTGCCTTGAACTGGTGCCCAGCTCGGTTCCTACTTCACGGGAGCCTTTAGGAAATGAGATGATGCACGCGTCTTTGCTAATTAGGGATTCGGGGCATTTTTCTTGTTTAAGCGCTGTCGTGGTTTCATTGAAGGCTTTAATGCCTCTATAAAATGTTTTTCCAGTGGCAGCCCCTGTTTTTGTTTTATGCTTTAGGAGTTAATCTCTGCCTTCTGTTAATTTGCTGGCCTAAAGCCAGTCAGTGGAGGTGGCAGAGCGATTTGTGCCTGAACTAAACAGCCTGTGGGAGAGCATTCTGGCCTCAGGCAGAGAAGGGGGCATCGGGAGCTGAAGGAGGCCAGCGCCTTTTTAAGAAAAACAGAGGGACTGGAAATTAGGGAATTCATTCTCTTGGAAATCAAGGCTGCCGTGCCCTTGCACTTGCACAGCCAATCATTTATCTGCTTTGTAATGCACAGGAGCAGAGGAAAGTGGGGAAAGCCGCCTCTTGGTTCCTGCAGGTTTGGGTCGTGGGGGAGTGCAGCAGCTCCTGGGTGTTGCCTGTGGTTCTGGCCACCATTCCACCGGAGCCGTGTTGACCAAGAGGAGTGAGCAGGAGAGAACAGGGCGGGGACTGGACAGCTTGTTGGGGGGTACACCGGAGGAAGCGTGATGGTCATCCTGGAGAAGGCCGTAGGCCTGTGCCATGGCAGAGGGAGGAGGCCTGCGGGAGTCACTGGAAGAGGGCGGCTTCTGGAGTCCGCACAGCTGAGCAGGGGTGGAGCGGGCTGCCCCGAGAGCAGCTGGGCCCCTGGACCCCGGAGGGCTTCGGAGAGGGGGCCACGACTGCTCACCAGGATCCCGGGAGTTGTTGAAATGAAGCATTCAAATCAGCAAGAGAGGTTCCAAGAATGGGAGGATAAGCCCTCAGGGGGTGTGTAGTCTTGGCAGGGAAAAAAAAGGAAATTCATAATTAAAGATTGATAATGACCCAAGGTCGAGGACCTGAGTTCCCGTCCCAGCTCCACCACTGAGTATCTGTGTGATCTCCTAAATGAGAGAGAAGGCTGATCTCTCGGGCAATCCCATGATCCTGTGACAATGCGTGTGAGGCTTATCACGGCTTATGTTCTACCTCTTCTATCCCGGCTGCTACTTCCTGTCTCTGGGGTAGATCTGATCGCCAAATTCTGGGCTGAGAGGGCACTGTGGAATTGTTTACCATCAGAAAAATGGGTTTTCTTACAGTTTCTCTGAAGCCCTTTAAAGTGAATTTCCTTAGAAGACGTATCTCCCCAGAATGTAGTTTATAAATCTTCAGAACTTGTTGACTCTGAGAGAGAATTAGCCTGATGGCAGATCGAGTTCACCTTCAGTGTCTGTCGGAAGCCAGTGTTGAACTCAAAGGGTGCCCGGGGTAATAACTCCGGCGGGCGCGCGCAGAGAAGGAAGGTTGGTGAGCTCCCCCCAAAGCCGACTGTCTGATCTGCCTGGCTGGCTCGCTGTCTGAAATACGGGAACACATTTAATTGTAAATGTGGTAATAGGATTTGTTATTTATTTTATGCTCCCCAGCAAATTGCTGCTGCCCTCGTTTCTGTTTTCATGCTTGCGCTTCCCCCACCCCCACCCTTCACCATCGTCTCATTCTTCTCAGAGACAGTTTTTCTGGGTGCTTTGCTCAGAGGTCTGCCGTGCTGATTGGAGGTTGAGGAATGAGGTTCGTTAACTGGTGTACAGATCACGCTTTGGGGGGAGGGCAACCAGGCCGGGGAGTGGTGGCACCAGTGACTTCTGTGTTGCCCACTCCCACGGCCCCCTCCCCATCCTCCTCCTGGACGTTCTCGCGCCTCCGGCAAATGTTCCTGTGTCCTCTTTCTCGGAACATCCCCCTTCTGCACCCTCTTTGAGGTTCCTCTCCTCCCTACTGTTCTCTTGACTCTAGCCATTCTCCAGGCCTTAGTTCTTGGTCTTTGGCTCTTGCCTTCATCTGAGGAGCCGTGGGTCGCTTCTGTGCCCGTGCCGCCATGTCTGTAGACTTGGGCCTGCCTTCCTTTTTTTTTCTTTTTGGTGAGGCAGTTGGGGTTAAGTGACTTGCCTAGGGTCACACAGCTAGTGAATATTATGTGTCTGAAACTGGATTTGAACTCAGGTCCTCCTGGCTTCAGGGCCTGTGCGCTTTCCACCGCGCCACCTTCGTGAACCCTGGTTTTGCGTCTTGAGCTGGCTGCTTCCACTTGAGTCTTCATTCCTTCATTCTGCAAGTGTATATCGAGTGTTGGGGATGCAAAGGTGAACAGAGACACAGATAAAGCCATACCTGCCCTCAAGGAGCTTCTGTTCTCTTGAGTAGTTTGGAACAACATGTGCCCACAGAAGTAAATTAAACACAATATCCAATGCCCACGTAAGGAGGCTGCTGGTGGAAGTGATGAGGGCCTTAACTGGGAGGGGGGGCCATGGGCCTCGGCCTCGGTGTGGGCAGAGAATACTTTGTGGAGGTGAAATGGACAGGATTTTGCAGCTGGGTGAACGTAGGGGGTGAGGGAAAGGAAGGCGCTGAGGATGACGGAAACTTGGTAACTAGAGGGATGCTGGTACCCTCAAGAGACAGGGAACACTTGGGGGAGGGGAGGAAGATGACCTGTGTGTTTTGTATGCGTTGGGTTTGAGATGACTCCCGGGCCTCCAGTTGGGGATATGCAGTCCACAGGTGGTGACACGGGAGGAGACAGCAGTGATGGATGCATGGATTGGGAGTTGTCTGCACATCTGTGCGAGCTTATCAAGTGACACAGAGGGAGAGAAGAGAAAGAGGAAAGAGGACAGAGGGGAAGGTTGGACAGGTCCAGCGAGCAGACTAAGCGGTACAGAGAGGAGAGAAACCCTGGCCGGAGGAGGGAGTGGTCAGCAGCGTCACGCTGCAAGGAAGTCACGTGGGACCAAGAGCGAGAAAAGGCCGCCGGCCTTGACGGCTCGGAGACTCTTGGTAGTCCTGCCTCATGGCAAAGAGGTGGTGGGCTGTAGGTGCAGAATGGGACATACCTTTTCCAACATGAGCAGTGTTTGGTTGGTTTTACTTATCTATACTTATTTGTTATAAGGGGGAGTTTTGTTGGGGGGGATGTTAAGGTAATTTTCTTTCTTATTATTATGAATGTAACAAACCTGAACTTACACGAACGTTTCCATATAGCAAGAACAAAAAACCAGGTTTGTACGGGGAACTCTGGCCACGTGTTGCACGCGCCTTGTTTGCTTGTTATCGGTTACATTGAGCCTGGCGACTCCCACGCTGACCTCTTGTCTGTGTCCCTTCTGAACTTTCTCCTGCTCTCGTCTCCATGCTTCTCTTACGGTTCACGGGTGGTGGTTTCTCTCTTGTCTTGTCTTTTGGCATCACAGTCACTGTTTCCACCTCCCCGCTGCCCTAAAGAGAGAAGTACAGTCCCACGGCATAAACCCCGCCAGTCACTACCTCGGCAAGTATCGACCTCACTCTCCTCTCAGTGCGGGGCAGAATCATTGGGTGCTGGTCATGAGGTTGCAAGCGAGCGTCGGTAATGCGGCAAACTGTGCCTTCTGGTCATTGGCTACTTTGGCGAGGCCGGTTTCAGTCAATGCTAGAGCTGGAAGCCAGCTTGTATGGGCCTGAGGAGTGAGCAGAAGATGAAAACCACAGGGGCGGTGCAGTGTAGACAGCTTTTTCTAGGCGTTTGACTGTGGGAGAGACTAGAGGTGCAGGGACGGTAAGAGCAGGTGAAAGGTTTGTTTTGCTTTCCAGATGGGTTGGGCAAGTTTGTAAGTGGTAGAGAAGGAGCCAGTGGATAAGGGAAGGAGAGATGGGGGAAGGGCAGGCTCCTTGAGGAGATGGGAGGGGCTGGGATCGAGGGCCCCGGCGGAGAGAGGGGTAGCTCTTGGTGGGGAGAAGGACGCCCTCTTCCTCTGAGACCTGATGGTGGATGAAGTTGAGGTGATTAGAAGTGTAGAGGGGGAGAGGGGGGGAGCTTGTGATGGACAGCCTCAGCTTTTTCAGGGAAGTATTTGGTGAAATTCTCAGCTGTGGTAGCAGGGGAGGGGATGTGTTAGGGAGTTTGAGGAGAGAAGAAAAAGTTTGGAATGATCTCTGGGAAGGACATCGGACATTGGAGGAGTAAAAGCTCTGGTGTGTTATTGTACAAAATATGCACAAGAAGAGCGAGGCTGGGTGACGGCTTGTCAGGGATCCCAGGGTCATAGGCCTTAGGCGCCATCACTTCCAACCTCTTTTAGTACAGATGAAGAAACTGAGGCTGAGATAGCTCGTGTATCATAGAGGACATTTCTGTTCAGTCTGGCCTGGCCTACCTGGCCTCTGAGGGCCCACATAACTCTGAGATTCTGGGAAATGAGGTCTGTGTTTCAGCTTAGCTGCTTAATGTTCATTTACTGTAGGAACTGTGCTTTGGGCTCAAGTGTTCTGCACCCATCCTCTGGGCGCCATCTTGGATGCTTGGGCTTCTGTCATCGTGTGCAGTTAGTGGTAAGCTCTGGGCCTGACAGTCCTGATACTATTGATCCCGTTTCATTTTTCAGTCCTCATGCAGACAGGTCTCAGTCATTGCTTCTTGGGCTTTGTCGTTCATCCTTTTTTCCCTTTTTTTGTCAGGTTATTCTGTAGCCATGCGTGGTTGGTGATGGAGGTTGTCTGGGCCCGGTGTAGCAGCAGCTAACATCTTGTTTTTTCTTCATTTAATAAATAGGACAAAAGGTTAAGTTAGAGATTAATTTCCTTTTCTTTTTCTTTTCAAATAGTATCCAGCATGTGTATGGAGCCCAGCACCCTCCTTTTGACCCATTAGTACATGGCACGTAAGTCACACGTCACCCCTGAAAGCTTGTCCTCAAGTATTTGTTTGGAAAGGGGGATGGGGCCACCCCGTCCTGCTTGGCGCACTTTGCCAAAGGCCAGATGGGAGCAGCCTGCATGCGATGGAGTCCCTCCAGGACTTCTCTTCTAGAATGGGCCCAGGGCTGGGCTTAGGGAAGGTGGGAAGAGGGCATGGGGCCTGGAGATACAAGGGGCAGAGGGGGGAGTCTGGCTCCTTAGTCCCCAACGCCTTGAGCGTTCTTTTCTTTAGCCACCGTTGACTCTCAGTTGTTCAGGGCCCGGTATCTCAGGGGAGCCCCTTGCTCGCCTCACTGTGGTTCTCTTTCCTTTTGTTGTGTCCTTGTGTGATCTCACCCCTTCTTGGAAATCTGAAAGAGAGGAGGTAGAAGCTGGGTGAAAGCAAACCCTAACTCCATCCTAAGCCTGTCCCATGGTAAGGGCCAGCCCCGTAGGCAGCTAGGCTGTAGACGGACTCCTGTGTACACTCCCTGATAAAACTGTGAGTCTGTGAGCTCGTGAACTCTGGTACTGTGGGATCCCATGGCAGAGTATTTCCCTCTTATTGTTAGCATGGCCAGAAGTCCAGGATGGGAGAATGGGATGGAAGAGATTTGGGTATCATTGGTGTATTAAGTCTGCTGTCCCTGGGTGCCTGTGGAGACCTCCTCAGGGCTTGCTCAGTGGCTCTGCCCCTGGGTTTTCTTTCCTCCCTTCCCAGGGCTAAGTCACTCAAACATTCGGGGAAGATATTACTTCCTTATTATTCCTGTGTTGGGATGGACTGAGGTCTGAAAATGCGTGTGTGCACGTGCGTGCGTGCGTGTGTGTGTGTGTGTGTGTGTGTGTGTGTGTGTGTGTGTCTGTGTCTGTGTCTGTGTGCGTTTCTGCCTCCTGGCTGCTCTGCTCTGCTCTTTCTCCTTGAGTGTTCCTCTTGGGGGACTATTAGGAATAAAAACACCCAGTTTTGTTTGCAGGTTGATTAAGACGGTCCCCAAGACACCAACCACCCCAGTGAAACCCAAGAAAGTCAGCACTTTCCAGGAATTTGAGAGCAACACGAGTGATGCGTGGGACGTGGGGGAGGATGAGGATGAGCTCCTGGCCATGGCGGCCGAGAGCCTGAACACGGAGGTGGTCATGGAGACGGCCAACCAGGTCATCCAGAACCACAGCCGGCGCCAGGAGCAGCACCGGGTGCCGCAGGAGCACGTCTGCGGTGACGGCGAGCGGGCCGAGCATTTCTCCGACCTGCCCTCGGTGACGGGCACTGACAGCAGGCTGGTGAAGTCTGTCAGTGAGAGTCACACGTCCCATTCTGCAGGTAACAGGTTGGGCATCTTCCTGCCGGCCCAGGAAATGCCCTGGGCCTCTTGGTAGGGCCATGGGGCAGAGATTGGCAGGGTACATTGTTTCTTGGGGCCTCGGGCCCTCTCCTCTGGGCCCTTTCTTGGGCATCCCATTAGGGCATGGGGCTGTCTGAGCCTTGTGGGGACGATAAGGACACTCGCTCCCTCCCAGTGTCCCTCCATCCCTTTTTCCATCTTCTCCTCTTCTGTCTTCCCTCCCTCCCCCCATGCTTTGTTTCCTCTCTTCCCTTCTCCCTCCCCCTCCCCATCCTTCTTCCGTCTGTCCCTCCATCCGCTTGCCTCTCCCTTCCACCCTTCTTTTCTTTGTCCCTCCCTTTTTTCTCTTCCTCTTAAGTCCCAGAAGTCCATGTTGAGGAGGTGCCATTTTTAGTGACGGTGACAGCCAAGGGTACTTTCAGTGGCTGTGCGGGGTTATTAGACGCCTATGTCCACGTGGGGGAAGATCCTGTCCTTTGAGCCCAGAGGGGCGCGTTCCCCATGGAGCCTGAGGTGAGCTTGTCTCTACTGCCGTAGGCCTGGCTGGGGGCCACCCAGGCTGTGCTGGAAACTTCCCTCACGGCTTCCCGAGGCAGCCCCTTTCCCTTTGGGACGCCCAAAGTCCTTTTTACGAAGTGTTTCCTGGCCTCAGGTTGAAATCTGTGCCCTGCCCTCACGTTCTTAGCTCTGTGTGCGGGGCCCAGGTAAGGCACGGTCGTCCTCTTGGCCCTGTGGTTGCAGCTGCTTTCTGGCTACTTGACAAAGTCCATGTCTGACTGTCCCTCCCAGAGTCCAACAGGTCCTGGGGACTTTGGCCATTTCTGTCTGCCCCTCCAATCCCTCCCCTAATTCACCCTCATTAGAGTTTCATCAGCCCTCCGAGATGTCATGTGTGAAGAGATCAGATCAGGCTGACAGCAGATGATGCTGCCGGTGCTGCTGGGCCCGGAGGAATGGAGGGTGGGAGGCGGTCGGCGGCCATTCTGATCCTGGCTCTGCTGTTGGCTGGCAGGGTGGTCAGGCCGGTGCCTGCTGCTCTCGGCCCGGCATAGGCCTTGCCTTTCCTTCTCATTCTCTCCCTGGGAACAAGAACAGCCTCTCCTTTTTCTGTACAGCTTTCAAGGTTACGGGCTCCCTCCTCCAGCTACGGGGTACCCAGGTATCCCCAGAACCTAGCACGGACCTGGAACCTAGAATTCACTGGCCTAGGGAACCTTCTCTGCTGCTCATCATCGTCTTAGAGAATGAGAGGTTCAGAGACTCACCCGTGGTCACTCGGCTGGTATGACTCTTTGCATACTGCCTGTCTGTGTGCCTGGCACACACAGTGGGTGCTTAATAAATACTTGTCGTTTGAGATCGGTGCTGCAAAGATAACTGTCTGCGTTTGGCAGGCAGGGCAGCCTGAGTCTCAGAGAGGGGAAGAGACTTCCTCAGGGTCACCCCTGTAGTAAGTGTGTGAGCAGGGCTCCAAGCCTGCGTCTCCTGGCTCCCCTCCCCCAGGCCCATGGGTTTCAGCTCCCCGCCCCCGTCTTCCTGGGCACCTCTAAGTTGCCCATGTCCATGTTTTTGCCTTTCTTCTGTCTGTAGCACCTGGTGCCCAGCTTCCAAGTAGTGAGTGCTTGGGCAGCTCCACTTGACCGACTGACTCCTGTCTCCCAGTGGGTGTGACGGGGGCAGAGGACGCAGGAACGCCCCTGGCTTGGGCTGACTCAGGAGCTGAAGAGAAGGAGGGGGAGGAGTCAGAGGGCAATTAAAGGCGTCGCCCCATCTTTCCTCCGCTTCTGATGAGATTGTCTGTGTCTGACTTTTGAGTTGTTACAGATCTCATGTGAGCATGCTGGGTGTCACATGGCTTGTTGAATCTCCACACTGAAGCTGGCCTTTCACCCTTCATCGGGGCAGGGTTTTTAAGTACTTGAGTTCCTGTAAGGCGAGGCAGATTGGGCTTTTTCTGGTGCGTGTGGCATCTGCTCAGTTCTTAGAGCATGTGCCCTGTGCTGCCCCACGTGCCGTCCTCTTGTGTGTGCTCACAGAAGTGGCTGCCGGCCCTTCTTCCCGGCCAGCGTCACTGTGGGTGGAGCTGGGATGTGCCTAGGAGGCCTGGGCATGAGGCCTGGGCTTCCAGCATGGACAGGCACCACTCGAGTGCTTGCAGAGGCAGGGGCAGTGGCATCCCTGACCCCCTCTGGTGACCTGGATCTCTGGGTGGCCTCGAGGGTCCCGTCCGAGCCTGCCATCGCAGACAACCCTGCTAGTGCCAGAGCCCTTGCCTGGGCACAGTGGGAAGCCATGAACTGGATCTGCATTTTGGTAGGTTGGGTTGGGAGTCTGCTTCCTTTTGTCCTGAAGAAAACCAAGCGTGGTGACCAAGTGGAAACACTGGACCTAGAGAAGGAGTGGCTGGTGGCCGGTTTGCCTGTGGGTGTGGCTTGAGGGGAGGCCAGCAGGCAGCCGGCACCGCCCGCGGTTCGAAGCCTGGTGGGAGGAATCTGTTTCCATGATGACCTTTGTTTAGCGCTTGCTGAGTGCCAGGCTCGGTACCCCGACAAGGAGTGAGGCGCAGCACTTACATCAGCACGTTCTGGTGCTGATGGAGACCAGCTCCCAGCTTCTCCTGGGCTCTCCCCTTGGGCTGTTCAGCTGCAGCCCGAGGTTAGGCCGTGATCGTCCGGCTCCCTCGCTCTTGATCCGGCCTCCTAACTGGCTTCCCAGCTTCCATCCTCCTCCTGGCTACTTAAAACTCACGTCTGACCATGCCAGCCCCCCTGCTCAGTCAGCCTCGGGGCTCCTTGTTACATCTAGGACCAAGGATGTGCTGGCCTGTGTGGCATTGAAGGTCCTTCACACCTGAGCCCGACTTACCCTTTCCAGTCTTCCTATACATCACCGTCCTCGAATTCTGCTGTCCAGCCACATTGGCCGCTCGCCGTGGCTCCCCCAGGACCCTCCACCTTCCATCTTCATGCCTCAGGACTGGCTCTCTTATGCTTGGAAGGCTCTCCCCTCTCACCGTGGCCTGCTGGACTTGAATTTCCTCCAGGCTCAGCTCAGGTACCACTTGGGACGTGAAGCCTTTCCCCTAGCTGCTTGTCCCTGCCTCCTTCCTTCTCTAGACAACCTTGTATTTTGTATGTGCTGATGTACATTCATATCATCTCCCTCTCCCCCTTAGAATGTTAGCTCCCCGAGGGCAGGGACTGGATCACTTGGGTCTCTATCTCTGGCATTTAGCTCAGTCCCTGGCCCATAGTCAGTGCTTAACAGATGTTTGTTCTTTGATTGATTGCTTTTGAATGAAGGTGGAGAAAATCGTGAAACTGTGCTGACTGGGTCCACTGCAAATTAATATTCCACAGCCTCCACTAGGACCTCACTGCCGCCAGGCAGGGACAGGGATAAGGGTCCACCTGCCTTAGCAATTCACCCTTTTGCAGAGCAGAGGGAGGCCCTTTGCTGTGAGCCCCCTCTTCTCCCTTCTTCCTCATCTGTTGCTCAGGTGTCTTCTGCCACCACCTCCTCCTTCACTCGTCTTATGCGAAGAGTTGGCCCTTCTCATTGCCAAGGCAAACCTGCAGAGGCGGTAAACCCATCCCACCCCTTCTCCAGCTGATTGTGTCCTCTATCATAGCTACTCCCTGTCTTCGATCTCTTCCCACCTACTGGCTCCTTCTCTATTGCCCAGAAACTTGCCCACACCTCTTCCATCCTCAGAAGCCCTCACTTGACCCTTCCATCCCTGCTTACTGTTGTCCCATATCTCTTCTGCCCTGTGTGGCCGAGCTCCTTGAGAAGGCCATCTCCAATGGGGGCCTCCATATCTCTCCTCTCACACCCCTTACAGTCTGCCTTCTGACATTATCGTTCCACTGAAACTGCTGTCTCCAAAGTTACAAACGATCTCTTAGTCGCTCAGTCCAATGGCCTTTTCTCAGTCCTCGTTCTCCTTGACCTCTCAGCCGCCTTTGAAAACGGCTGCTCGCTCTTTCCTCGTTGATTCTCTGTTCTCTGGAATTTTGGGCCATCACTCTCTTCCATTTCTCCTCCTGCATCTCTCACTCCTCCTTCTCAGTCTCCTTTGCTGGATCCTCATCCAGATTATCCCCTCTAATCAGAGTGTCCTTCAGGGCTGTGTCCTTCAGGGCTGTGTCCTTCAGGGCTCTGTCCTGGGCCCCGTTCTCCCTTCATACCACTTCACTTGGTCATCTCCTCAGCTCCCATGGATTTAATTACCGTCTCTGTGTTGATGATTCTCAAATCCACTTTTCCAGCCCTAACTTTTCCCCTGACCTTCATTCACATATCTCTGAAGGCCCATTGGACATCTCAAACTGCGTGTTTCATAGACGTTTTAAACCCAGCATGTCCAAAACTGAACTCATTCTCTTTCCTCCTAAATCTTCCCTCCCCATTTCTGTTGGGAACAACACCATCTTCCTACTCACCCAGACTCACAACCCAGGAGTCTTCCTGGACTCCTTATTCTCTGTTCCCCCCATATCCAGACTCTTGCCAAGGCCTGTTGACTTTACCTTTTCAGCTTTTCTCTAACGTGCCCCCATCTCTTCTCTGACATGGTCCCCACCGGGGAGCAGGCCCTGATTGCCGGGACTATGGCAGTTGCTGCTGGGGAGTCTGCCTGTCTCAAGTCTCCCCCCACTCCAGCCTGTGCGCCATTCAGTTGTCAAATTGACCTTTGTTAGGTGCGGGTCTGACCATCTTACCCCCACCCCCATCATCGTACTCTAGTGATTGTCTACAAGATCAAATATAAAATCCTTTGTTTTACATTCGCTGTCCTTCCTCCCTGTCTGGTCCTCGTGTGTGTGTGTGTGTGTGTGCGCGCGCGCGTGCATGTGTGTATAGTACATATGTGTATATGTGTGTACATACGTATATGTATATATGCGTATGTACACACATATATGTATCTTAGATCCAGTGACACTGCCCTCCTGGCTATTCCATGAATAAGGCACTCCATTTTCTCACGTCAAGGAAATGAGAGTCTTGCCGTTCAGTTTGTGGTGTCCTGGTGGCCCCCACTGTCTAAAGGGAGACAAAAGCAGAAAGTGGGCGAAGTTGTAATCAGATGAGATCGAGGTCATCTGTGCAGGTTAAGGAGCCATATAGCATCCTGGTTAGATTACAGGAAGTAGAGGGGGTCTCTTTGTCCTGCTTGTCATTCTCCTTGTGATGCAGAATTAATTTGTGTTGTCCAGATGCTAAGATAGGTTGGTGGGAAAAAACAAAGGATCACAAATATTCTCACTCTCTATCTTCTGCCCTCCCATCTCCACTTGCATTCTTTCCTTGGCCCCAGCCCCAAGGCAGCACCCTGAGCTAAAGCAGGATGGGAGGGATTAAGAGATTGGGAGCCCTCTTCTTTGGTAACCCTGGAGTCTCCCTTCTGGCCAAGGAGCAAGCCTGCCTGGGGGTGGTGGGGATGAGAAATGAGGAAGGTGCTTCCCCTCCCTGCTCTGAAGGCTTAAGTGGGGCACAGTCTGCCCAGGGGCCAGAGTACGCCTCCTCCTCCAAAGCCTCAGGGTTTATGTCGTTGGGTTTTTTCAGTCCATATTTTGAATCTAATGAGTTCAGTATGTGGAAATGAGCAGCCTGATTGTCAGTGTGCTGTCAGAAACGTATGGATGGCAGCGTGTTCGGCAGAGCCTGTTGTCCCCATCACTTGTCTGGAGTTCATCTTTTCACTGGAAACTTAATTTTTGTCTTAAGGAAATGAGGTGAAATGCAATGATGTGGTTTCAGATTTTGAATTTGCTGGCCTTTTTTAGGTGGCTGATTTTAGTGGGCAGTGTAGTGTAGTGGAAAGAGGGCAAGGCTGGGGTCAGGAAAGACCTGGGTTCAAGTTGTGACTCTCACTTTGTAACTTTAAATTAGTGTAGGAGTATGAGCTTGGGAAGCGCCCTCCCAGCCCCCCAAAAGCAGCCTGTTCTGTGGTGGTCTACTCGCATGGAAAGGGCCTGGGACTGTGACTTAGGACACAGAGGTTCTAGGGCTGGCTCCTGCCCTTCCTGGCAGAGTGGGCTTAAGCAGCTCCTGTAGCCCTTTGTAGGAATGTGGTTATGGTGGTGGTGATTGGTGGTGGCGATGGGGCTCGTCAGCGTGGCCGCAGGGATGATGTAGGTCCAAAACCTCCTTGCTATCCTTCCCCTCTTCCTTTACATCCTTGTAGGGTAAAAGATACAGACAGAGAGCCTGGGGGTGTAGTATCTGGAGGCCTGCGTTCTAGTTCCAGCATCAAGCGGGGCAAGTCACTGAAGCACTCTGGCTCTTCAGCTGCCTGCAGGCTCTGCTGAGCACGCTGATGTCTGTAGGTTTCTGGCGTGGGGAACATTTAGACATTGCCTGCCTCCCTCACAGTATTGCTCTGAGATTCAAAGATTCTCAAAGGAGATGGCTTTCCCCGTGAGCCCATTCTTGGCACCAGAGCACCAGCCCTATTATAGAGCTCCAGCCTCTGACAGGACACCTTTGTCCTTCGGGAATCTCCCAAGTGATCGCTGCCTTTCCCTGGGCCAGAGGTCCTCCAAGGCCTCCCCTGCATCTCTGGCTCCAGCACTTTGGGCAGGGCGAGCGAGGTGTCATGTTCTCATGTGCTGTTCTGGGCCTTGCTGAACCTCATTTTCTTTGGCCACCTTCTGTCATCTCCCCTTTGAACGGCCAGCTCAGTGTGCCTGGACTCCCTTTTTTCCGCAGTTTATCAGCTTATGGTAGCTGGATCTGTGATGAGTTAGAAAGTGTTTGAGTGCAAAGGGATTGTGGAGGTCATCTGGTTTAGCCTTCTGCCTGTGCCATGAGTGTCCTTGCAGAAGGCCTGAGAAGTTGTCGTGCAGCTTTTGCTCAGACACCCTCATGAGCGGGAGCCTTGTGTTTCTAGGACATACCATTGTTTGACAGCTAGAGTTATTAGGGAGTTATTTCTTATAATGGCAGAAATCTGCCTTTCTGGCCATCCCATTCAACCGGCCTCCAGCCTGTGGAGGGCTGGAGCTGAGCAGAGCAGGCTAGGGACTGGAGAGTCAGGAATCAAACAGAAGTTTAGTTTCAAAGTGAGGGAAACGGCTTATAAGCACCGGGGCAGATGAGACTCGTGGGCTGGGCCCCTGCCCCAGTGGGGGGACCCGAGGTGGTGTGGGGAGATCTTGATGCTTACACCTGTGGCTGCACAGTGAGCTGTAGCCCTGACGGCAGCGGCGGGACGAGTTTGCTTATGGCAGGGCATCATGACTGGAACATGGGTGCTGGTCGAAGCAAGGCAATAATTATGTGACTTTGCCAGAGGGTGAGTGCAGAGGATTGTTGTTATGCTGAGCTCCGGGCCCAGCATCGTGACACTCCCCTTTCTCTTCTCTTATGCTTAGCAGCCCTTCACCCAGCTGTGCACATGTGGTCATCACGGCTCTCTTCAGCCTTTTCTTCTTCTCTGTAGACTTGGCATCCGCAGTGCCTTCACCCGTATTTTCTGTGACATGACATTAGATCCTCCTTCCCTTCCTCTGATTGGGTTTTTGTAGCTGCCCCCACATGGAGAGCCTTGGGTGGACACAGTGCTCCGGCTGTGCGCTGACCAGGGCAGCGTGTCCTGAGACTCTTCCCTCCCCAGGCATGATAATGCCGCCTCTGGTTGCATTGGCTTCCTGGGCAGCCACACTAAGTGGCTGGCACGTGCTCAGCCTTTGACCTATGACAGGCCTTAGGTCTTTCACACAGACTGCCGCCTTCTCACTCTTTTTGTAGGTTCTTTCCTCTTTTGAGAACTTCTCGTTTATCCCTATTAAATGTCATTGCCTTAGCTGCCGGAGTTGGAGGGGGCCATAGAGACCACCCCGTGCTGGGCTCGACCTGTTGGGTGTCACAACCCTTTGGCAGTCTGATGGACCCCTTCCCAGGATCCAGTTTTTAAATTATTGAAGAAAATGCTAAACTTCAGTTTGAGGCTGGTAAAAATAAAGCTGTCTTTTTTTTTTTTTTTAAAACCATTCCTGTTCATCCAGCCTCTGAAATGTGTCCGTGGACCCCAGGTTAACAACCTTTGATTTCAGCCCATGTTAGAGAAGAGAAGTTCCTTGTGTAGGGTCACATCGACAGTAGCAGGCCTGGGGCTTTACCTCCGATCCCCTGACTCCAGGGGCGGCAGAAACTTTTGGCTGTGGCTTTAGTCTTTACGCTCTTGTGAAACCCGTCTATGGATGCAGTCCTTGCTGGGGATGTTGGGGGAGCACGCCACCTTCCCCCTTCTTAAACTTGTTCCTGAAAATGCTGTGCCCTGTGACCGAGGTGTGCTCTCCTCAGTGGCCTGGCTGCCCTGGTAGCATGGCAGCCCCATTTCCTGAATGCCCTGTTCATCTCATGCTTTTCTAGGCACCGCTTTTTTTTTACAGCCCAGGGAGAGGGGCTTCTGTTGGGTGTGGTGTCCCTCGAAATGACCTTCTCTTTCCTCTTCAGAAAGGCAGAATGGGAAAGAACCTGTGAATGGGAGGGGGTGGTAACCTTAAGTTACTGGGTGGGGAGGGGGTGCTTGGTGACTTTGGCGAGCTAGCAGCAGGTTGGAGGGGGACAGCCAGAGACACCAACTGTGCTAATTGGCCTTTTCTGTTTCCCTCTTGCAGAAATCCTCAGTGACACCACCCATCTGCAGCGCTCCCAGTCTCTCCCTTACGCCTCCACGGCCCCGTTAGGCTATGGATCGGACGATAAGAATGCACTTGGCCCACCGGCCTTGACGGAGAGGGAGGTCTATCGGCTAGAAAAATTTAGGCAGCTTCTGGCGGGTCCCAACACGGATCTTGGTAAGTTCTCATCTGCTGTGGGGCTCCCTGTCGGGATCTGATAGGAGGCGAGGGGATCTTCCCTGTCTGGAGTATGAAGAAGCCGCCTCAGTATTGAATGAAGCTTTGGCTGTTTAGCGCAGCCAGTACTGCATTCTCAGATGGAGCTCCTGGGTCTCTGTTGCTGAACTTTGGTGCAGGCCCATTGACTTAATGGCACTCACTGCCCCTTTGCTCCATCCTCTCCCATTCTGCTCCCTCTCTCTCAGGAATGTGTGGTGTCCTTGTAGCTGGCTTTGTAGAGACTCCTGAGTTGGGCGCCATCTTCTTTTCCGGAGAGGGCCCGCCAAATGCATTTTGGGGGCACCAGTGGCCATTGTTCTAAGTATGGTTAGACCAGAGAGTCAGGGAATAGAGTGTTGCTGGCCGTCAGTAAATGGCTGCTAGTTCAGGCTGTCACCAGATTGCCACTGGAACCGTCATAACTGAAAGGCCAGGAGACATGAGTTCTGCCAGTGGGGTGGCCGGCCGTCTGTCAGGTGGAACTGACACGCCAGTGCTGGTGTCTTGAGCCTCGCTTTCTTGGGAGCCAAATTCCACGCTCTCTCTTGTGTTTTTCTGAGACCAGACTTGGGGCTCACAGTCTCCACACAGCTGCCTAAATTGTGGGCCGGGTCACTGCCCCCCTCAGAAGCATTTGATGGCTCCCTGTTACCCTTAGGACAAACCAGAGCCCCGAGGTATTTCAGGCCCTTCACCATCTGGCTCTCCCCTTCTTTCCCATGATTCCCTTTTTTCTACTCCATGTTCCAGCAAAAACTGACTTTGAGCTGCTTTCCCAACCTTGGCCTGCCTTGCCCCGCCTCTCAGACTTTGCCCATGTCGTCGTCTGTGCCTGTCCCTGTTCAGGCTCTCTTCTCGTTCCGAGGCTCGGCCTCCACTCCTGCCTGGTGTCCTCTGGGCCTTTCTGTGGCCCATCACTCGTGCCCCAAGCGCGTGCCTCTTGTCCCTGCGTTCCTTCCCTGTGGGGCCCGTACTGGGCCCTCATACCTCCTGGTATCCTTAGGGTCTCACTCCACTTTGGATAGTGGTGTCATGGTGAATAGTCAGGTGGCTTTTCTCTCCTGCTTGGGCCCAGGCATTGCCACCTTTTCTTCGTGGTCCCTAGGGCATCGCCCCTGCCCTGGTCCAGCTGGGCCACGGCGTGAGCTCACGTTTCAGTGGCATTCACGGGTCTCCAGGCCCCTTCCTCACTGCTGCTCAGTGGAGAAAGTCTGTGAATGTTGTCCTCCGATGAGGATGTGGAAGCCCAGAGAGGAGGTGGCTCCTTGTTCTGTGTCTGGGAGAGTCTGCCCCGAGCTCCCCAGCTCTGGGCAGCTTTATGTGTAGACATTTTCATTGATAGTTAAAAGCGAAACTTGGAAAAGAGAGGGATTATAGGACTGATTGATCTTTTGTACTGCCATCTGTGGGCTGTTTCTAGAAGGCTCCTAGGGTCCTTTCTGAAGGAAGGAGAATGTGTTCTTTTTGCATTTCTTAGGAGAGATGAGTGACAGATATTTGCCAGTCTTGGACGAACAAGTGGCTGATGTGAAGGAGGCCCCCGAGGCTTTCGCTGCTGCCTCATGGTCGTCCCCTCTGAGCAGAAGCTGCTCTGCTCGTCTGGGGGGGCTCTCGGGTCTGCTGGGGCGTCAGCGTCGCGTGGATATGACAGCCTTGGAGCGGCGCTTCCCAGGCTGGCCTCCACTGCCGCGGAGAGTTTGTGTGTTTTGTGAGTAGGTCAGTGCCTGAATATGAAATGGTGTTGGTATTCAGCATGTATTTCCCACAATCTTTCTTTCTGAAAATGGTCTTAATCCCCTCTTTTTTGCTCCCCCACACCTCCAGCCTCCTTAATGTAAGTGATCGTTCAGACGCTATTGGGCCAGCGTTTCTGGGTCCCCTCAATATACTTCAGATTCTCATGTGATTGGTTATGCGACTCTGGACATTCCTTCTTTTGGCATTTAGATTTAGTGGGCGCATCTGGGAATTTATTCATTAAACAGCCCTGAAAATGCTTGTACTGAGTAGATTGTTGGGGGCATGGAAGGATGAGTAATATAGGGCTGCTACCTTCTGGAAGCCCAGTGAAAGGGAGGAGATCCTTCTGAACTGAGGGTAGCAGAGTCTTCTGCATGGAGCAGGTGATGTAGGGTAAGAGGAGGGAGTGGGGAAGGTCGAGCTCTGACCATCTGAATATTGATCGATTGGCTCTGGCCTTCTAGCCTGATACAGTGAGTACCTACAGTGCTGGGCTTGGAGTTCACTCCCTAGTGCGGACACTTTCTGAATGTGCCATGGCACCCTGGGCACATTACTTTCCCCCGTGGGGCCCTAGGATTTATCTGCTAAATCGCTGACCAGCCAGTTGTGTTCTCTTCCGTGGTGCAGGGGCTCCCTCCCTGACAAAATCCCCGATCCTCACTTGGGACTGCCTTGTGGTACGGTCCTAGGCTGGATGAAGGGGCCTGCTCCTGTTTCTCTTTGGGTTTAGTGGTCCTTCCTGGATCTGGAGGCCTTCTTAGCTGTTTGCTGCAGTCTGTGTCAGTGAGCTGGGCTCTTCTAGGACCCTTCATGCTGCTAGGTTAACCGGGAGCCTCTTGGGAATGCTTTGTTTGGAAGCCCCGAGTTTGAGGCCTGGTCTTGGTGCTTCTTGGTGTCATGACCCCAAGCAAATACTTTCACCGTGTTTCCTCATATACAAAATGGAGAGATTGGGCTTGCGCTATCTCGCAGGGTTATGGTCAGGAAGACACTTTGCAAGCCTTACGGTTTTATGGAGATGTGCATTTTTATGGCGACTCTTGTTGCGTGCTATGGAGGAGGACCCATCATCAAGGTGTGTAGCCGTCCTGCTCTTCCTCCTCTTCTTCATCAGCAGTGCCTCCAGGAAGTTCTTTACATCCACAGTGGCATTTGAGCCAGGGCCCTCCCTGTAGGCACTAATAACTTAATCAAGCAGGATTCAGAGAGGGAGTGTCAGAGGGACTTGCCTTTGGTCCCCCACTGGTACGTGGGGGTCCGAGGGGGATTTGGGCTCTGACGCTGGCACATCCCCCGTCATGCCATGCTGGGTGACAGCTCACACTCACAAATGGCTTCAGCAGGGGTAACCAAAGATCAGAGAGGGAAAGCTACCTTCTCACTTGTGGAGAAGAAGGAAGGCCTTATGGTTTTTTAAAGAAGTCTGAGTTTGACACTTGGACATCGCTAGGCAGGCTGTCCATCAGTAGCTGCTAGGTGCCGTACCCTGTGCTGGGTGCTGGGATGCAGATAGAAAGGATGGAACATTCCTTAGTGGTGGAGACAGCCAGTACAGGGAGAAGTAGGTGTAAAATAAAGAGGAAGAGAACAGGGCAGTGGGAAAGGCTTCACAGGACAAGATGGTGCCTCAGCTTGGAGGGAGAGATTGAGTGGGTGGGAATGAGGGAGGAATGCATTCCAGTGCTGGGGATGTGGGCCCAGAGGGAAGGCCAGTTCAGGGAGGGGAAAAAATGTAAGTGAGGCTGGAAAGATGGGTGGGTCTGCTAAGCCCGGGGTTTCTAGTTTAGCCTAGGGGCATTAGGCCATGGGGAGCTGCTGGGGGTGATTGAGTAGGAGAATCACACCTGGGCTTAAGGAACATCGCTGCAGGAGCAGCAGGAAGAGGAGGGCAGCAGCTGCAGCTGCGTGTGGGATGAGGGCCTGGGCTAGGGTTGGAGCTGTGAGAGCTAGGAAGCCGGAGATTTGGCCTCTTGGCGGTTACGTTTGGGGAAGGCCAGTGAAGAGTGGAGAATGATTCTCCAGTTGGAATTCTGGGGTGCTGGAGGGACAGTAAGGCCTGTGACTGAACCGGGAAGTTTGGAGGAGGGAGGTTCCCCTTCTCCTCCCCCCCATCCCCCCGGGTAGGCTTTATTTATTTACCTATTATATAGGCTTTCTTGAAATGAAAACTTATTGCTGTATGTTTTGGTGGTGTGGTGTTGTCTTTTCAAGTTTTCAACATTCACTTTTATAGGATTTTAAGTTTCAGATTTTTTCTCCCTTCCTCCCCTCCCCCTTCCCCAAGATGGCATGTAATCTGATAAAGGCTATACATGTGCAATCATATTAAACATATTTCCACATTAGTCGTATTGTGAAAGACGAATCAGAACAAAAGGGAAAAACCATGAGAAAGAAAAACCAAAGAGCGAATAGTTGGCTTCGATCTGCATTCAGATTCCAGACTTCTCTCTCTGGATGTGGATAGCGTTTTCCATCTTGAGTCTTTTGGAATTATCTTAGACCATGCGTTGCTGAGAAGAGCCAAGTCTGTCAAAGTGGGTCATCATAAGCTGTTGCTGTTACTGGGTCCAATGTTCTCTTGGTTCTGCTCACTTCACTCAGCATCAATTCGTGTAAGTCTTTCCAGATTTTTCTGAAATCTGCCCGCTCATCATTTCTTATGGAGCAATAGTATTCCGTTACATTTATATACCACAACTTGTTCAGCCATTCCTCAATTGATGGGCATCCCCTCAATTTCCAATTCTTTGCCACCACAAAAAGAATTTCTATAAACATTTTTGTACATGTGGGTCCTTTTCCCTTTTCTTTGATCTTTTTGGGATACAGACCTAGCAGTGGTATTACTGGGTCAAAGGGTATGTACAGTTTTATAGCCCTTTGGGCATAGTTCCAAATTGTTCTCCAGAGTGGTTGAATCAGTTCCTAACTCCACCAGCAATGCGTTAGTGTTCCAATTTTCCCACATCTTTTCCAACATGTATCATTTCCCTTTTTTGTCACATTAACCAATCAGATAGGTGTGAGGTGGTACCTCAGAGTTGTTTTAATTTGCATTTCTCTAATCATTAGTGATTTAGGGCATTTTTTGATATGACTTTAGTTGACTTTAATTTCTTCATCTGAAAACTGCCTGTTCATATAAGAGGGAGGGTTTTGAGGGAAGGCTAACGTTCCATTTTAGCCATAGTGAATTTGAGATGGGATGTCCA